CATGATCCAGAATCTTGTTAGGTGAAATACCTCTCTTAATCAGGCAATCTGCAACTTGGCTTGAGCCAGAAATCCATTCAAGTTTATGCATTACCTTTTGTTCAAGCAATTCATGAATAATTGCATTTTTGATTCTCAGCCTTTTATCCAATATTTGAGTAGATGAGTGAACAGACTCATATGGGCCTGCATTGTCAGTTTTACATATTACTGGAAGATTTTCTGGCTTGTCTTCAATGCATAAAATTTCTAGAAGATATTTTCTATAAAAAGTGCAGGCTTCCATAATATCAACCATAGAAAATGTCTCTGCTGCCTGCATACTTTTTACAAATCTCAACTGTATGAGAATACCAAAAAATATGAACATAACTATCATTGTCACCCACAAGAAAGACAATGTATCCTGTTTGAGGTCCTCCATTATTAAGTCCAGCAAATCTTGCATCACTATATGCTACCAGTTTCATTCTTACAAGATTGCCTAAATTAGGTATTAACAATCTGGAGGAGATTTTCTTAGCTTTTCTAGCTGATTTATTTACCAGTGATCAGCTTTTAAAAATGATGTCACATCACTTATCTCATAACTCAAATCAGGCTGTGTCTGTGTTGCTAGCCAATTTAGCTTTCCCATTAAGCTTCTATATAATTTGAGTTCAACATTTGACAAACTGAGTTTGAATTATAGTCAGTTTTTGTAAGTATAATCTCAGGGATTGATTTGACAAACTCATTTGACTAATTTTTATGGACTCCTTTCACTGACAAATCTCAAGACCAAGATATTTGAAACTTGAAGTTTCCTCTGATCTGACCATAAAGACTTGCTCGATTTTCTTAATCACATTTTCTTCAAATTTTTCAGTGCCTGCCCAGAAGAAGTTACCCACATGAGTTGATATGATTTCATTAATCTTATTATCATAGTACCATGTAAAGGCAACTTGGCCATAATTAGATGAGCAGTTTCCCAGTTTCATTAGCTCTTTTCTAACATTCTCTAAAAGCATCATTCAGTCCATATATGCATTTATTTAACTTCTATATATATATATCAGTCCATATATGCATTTATTTAACTTCTATATATATATTCAGTCCATATATGCATTTATTTAACTTCTATATATATATTCAGTCCATATATGCATTTATTTAACTTCTATATATATATATATTCAGTCCATATATGCATTTATTTAACTTATATATATATATTTTAGTCCATATATATATATATTCAGTATTATGCATTTATTTATATATATATATATTTCAGTCCATATATGCATTTATTTAACTTCTATATATATATTCAGTCCATATATGCATTTATTTAACTTCTATATATAACATTCAGGAACTTCAGCTTCTGGAGGAGGTTTTAGAAAGACTTTCCTTTCAAATTGCTTCCCTTGCAAAAATACTTTCTTGATATTCATAGAATGGCATATCCACTTCAAAGCTACAATGATGGTCAGGATAAATCATGGCCTCTACTTTGAGCAAGTAGGCAATTCACACCTAATACATCCAGAGTTTTCATTTTGGAATCCTTTTTCAACCAGTCTGGCTTTCATTTGACTTCCATCTTTTGTCTCTTTTTTTGATGCAAATCTATTGGTCTTAGTTTGATACAACAGAATACACTTTGTTTTCGGATCAGCTATGTAATTCCTTCAGCATATCCTACAATATTGACTTTCAAATTAAGGTAATTTCTCGTTGTCTGAAGATTCCTTTACGAGATGGTTGCTTTCACAACAGTTTCCTGTAGATTTTCTTTTTCACAGTTAAGAAAGTTTTTCCACTCAACCACATTTTTCCCAAAACAGGTCTTCTGAGTCAATAAATACATCTAAAATATTTTTGTTTTTGCCAGTACCTTTTCCAGTGTGACTGATAATTTTCATTTTCTTCCAAGAAGGATCATTGCCTGATGCCACTTTGCACATTATCTCTTGCCATATTCTTGGAAAAATTACAATATATGCTTTCCCACATGTTTTTAATGGATGCCCAGCCTTTTTTAACTCCTGACTGTTAGTCAATTCATGAGTTTTTGTATTATCATCACTTATGGAAGGACTAATATTTTTCCCATCAAGTGAACCACCTACAACATCTTCAAAATCTGTACTTTCAATATCTTGGTCTATCCATGAATCCTCCTCTAAATTTTCTGTATGGGTTCTCATCAGTTGTTGGTACATTCAATTCTTCAACAAAATCATTTTTATACATCTGCAGATGACATGAATTGACTCTAACATAGCTTCCTCCTTGTTTGATCAACACTTGCTTGTTTTCAGTTCCTATAACTGTTCCTGATCCCATCCAATGGTTTGATTCCTTTCTCTTAAAATATACAAGATATCCATTTCTATATTTAATGACAGTAATGGGTCTCATCTTTTGGCACAAAACTCTAATTTTTCAGATAATTCTGCCTGGATAGCATTGAAATTGTTAGCTATGAATACACTTGATGTAACACCCTCTAAAGCTGGGGGTTTATTTATCAGAACAGAAGGCACATTAGAATTTTGTCCAAATATCAGTTGATTTGGACTATAACCATTGACATTATGCAAAGTATTTCTGGAGCTCAGTGACCAAGCAATGGCAAGTTCCAAGCTGCAACCAGTGTCTTCCATAGTTTTGAGTACCATTTCATTAAGTATAACATTGTGGCATTCATTTAATTCATTGCTTCATGGACTTTGTGCTGGTGTAGTTCGTACAATAATATTTAAATTCTGAGCCATGTCTTTGAAAACTTCATTATCAAATTCTCACCTATTATCAGTTAAAAAACTAGGAGAAGGTCTAAAATATGCAATCCTAAACCGAAATGTAATGTTAATAATTTCTGAACTCTCTTTTGACTTTATTATAGAAGCTACACTGTATCTGGTGCAATGATCCATTAAATGGAGAATGTTGCTCCCTTTAATGTCCATAGCATTTCATTGAAGTGTTTTGCTAAAGAGAAACCAACAATGGGGCTTGGGTGATACTCTCTTGTATTTTAAGCATATGACACAATTTAAAGTAATTTCCTGAAACTCTTTTACATGTTCAACATCAAGAACTCCTGCATCTTTCAGGAGTGTATTCATTTTCTCATACTTTGGATGACTAAAGTCCTTGTGAAGTTTTTCTGCTAGTTTTCGTTTTTCTGCAACAGACTTATTTTTTAATATCACTAGTGCTGATCAGAACAATATTTTCATTCTTTTGGAAATTTGAAGTAGCAAGAGGGATATAATAATGCCCGGAGTTAGTGCAGAAAAGTCATAACTTTTGGCCAATCATTTTTAAAATTGTGAAAATTTCTCCGATTTAACCAGTAGAGAAGACAATATTTATGAATAAAAATGACAATAGGAAAACTAGTAATTGCTGATGCGTTTCAATGTGGACTTTATCAAAGCAAAATACGAAATTAATTTAACAAGGTAACTAATAAAAACAAAAACAGAATGTTACTAGCAACTGGAATGTAGAGAAACACTATTTTCATATTGTTAACTGAAAATAACGTCAGTATATGTCACGTTTGGAATATTGTCATTGTATTTATGTATTCAAAAATCAAAAGAAAATGGTTGAATACATCAACACAGATACAATGACAATATGATTATGGGGGATGTTTTATTTTATCATTTCACCCCAAGTAAGGCAATAAAACTGCTAAGATACAAGTGGTTAGTGAGTGTTAGAGAATATAAGAAAACGACTGTTAAGGAGAGAGAACACTAAAAGAGAGAACATTTCAACTGTAGAATGATGAGACCTTGCTGCCAATCTAGTACTGAACTTAAATTTATAAAGTCTATGTACCAAAGAGGAAAGCTCACCAGAACAAATATCATGAAAATATATATAGAAAAGACCCAGGGAAGCCTTAACATTTCATCTTCTTGATGTTAAGTATAAGTTTTATTTTTGTTTCCATTTTCTAAAACCTCATCCTTACACAGTTGTTCAGTCCATCTTATTCTCAAATTATCCTTCTGTAGAACCAGATTCTGTTTTTAAGTCCCTTCTTCATCTGTGAGGAAATTGTCCACATTCACTGACATATTGGATGATTGATATTACATAACAGTTCAGTACTGTTTTCTTTGTTACTAGTGATTGGCATTGCATTTAAATTTTTGCAGATTAAAGTTGGCTAGAAAGCATGGAATCAGAAGGGAGTTCCACAAGCAAGAAGTGCAAGAAAAGAAACTGTTAACATAGAACTTACGGTTACATCTAAACATTTCAACTGTAAAATAATGAGACCTTGCTGCCAATCTAGTACTGTGCTTAAATTCATAAAGTCCAGGTACCATAGGGGAAAGTTCATCAGAACAATTATCATGGAAGTATTTATAGAAAATCACAGGAAAGCTACATGAGGGTGATGGAAAAGTGATTGAAGCCGAAATGTCAGGTCAGGACCAATAACATTGTAGAGTCTTTGGAATTTAACAAGAATCTTTAAATGTATAGCAGGAACACCAGACCAGATGTGGCAGCAATATTCAAAGCAAGGACTTTTAAATATGTGAGATAAATTCTGGAGAGAACAGTTCTCTAGCACAAACAGCGAACTAACTTTATTTGTTTAACATTCCAACCACCTGAAGAAGGCCGGAGCGTACAACAGCCGAAAGGTTGTAATAAATATAGCAACAAAGATGAGAACAATAGTCCAAATAATGTAAATAGTGTACATAATACCTCATCTCAGAAATATAGACAGTGAACTAACTCATTACTGAATTTATCTACCAGGCTTTAGAATGGCATGCTTCAAGCTGTGGCTTTAAACATCTCAAAGGCATTTGTCTAGGTTTGGCATGCTCAATGGTGTCTCTGGCCAAATATTTGACTTTTTTATCAAATAATGGAGAGCATGTTGAATGGCTTTTATTGCCTTGCTTGGGGTGAAATGATTAAGAAAATGATCTCAGCTCCAAATACAGAAAAATATTACTTACCTATAAAGACCATTCTGTTTAGCCTTTGCTCATTAGTTTCCCAATCTGATGTGTACTGAAAGTCAAATAATTCATGAACAGCTTGAACAATGACCCTCTTTGGAGAGTCACTGATGGAAAGAACGCCCTGAAATTATAAAGGATAAAACCTGAATTAACTGGATGGGGTCTAAAAAAAAAATTTTAAAAAATGAAAAAAATAAAAAAAAAATAAAAAAAATTCTGGCTCTCTGTCTTTGAATTTATTCCTACTTTATGGAAAATGGAATTCAAATTTGTTGCTGCAAACTGAATCTATTTTATTTTCAGAAAAAGCGAAAACAGCGAAATTAGCAGTTTCTTTATAAGAAGACATTCAGTATTCAGTGACCAAACAGCATTAATGTCGGTTGAAAATTATAAAATCTTTTTGTTAAAACAGTTTTTTCCAGGAAATTAAATTTCTCAAGTTCACTAATTGTTATCGCTCTTTCTAGTAGTGACAGGAGTTTCCTTGCTAATCTTTTGTTTTAAGTACTGTATAAAGTTAACATTTAGATTATATCATTATTTTCACTTCTACTTTTTTTCTTGATGGTATATGTGCAAAGCGAAATTTAACAAACTCAACTGAACTTGAACTCAGCTTGATGATTTCTCATTCCAAACCACAAGACATTACACCGCCCACACATCCTACTACAAATACTTAGTCAATTTAAATCTAATTTCTGATGAGGCACACAAAAAACTAGTGCCAAAAATTAATTGATTATACTTTTCCAAATGCTTTAGGGGCTACAGAAGAAGACCAATGTTCATCAAAATAGCCAAAGAAATTGAATTTCAGCCAAGACAATCCAGTGTACAACAATTCAACCTGCCAACATTCAAAATTGAAAGGAACCTTTATGAAAAGAAACTACTTGTTTACTGGTCATTGATAACCCCTAATCAAAACCTGACACAAACAAATACCTTACCTCTAGGTGGATCCCAGCTATTATTCTTTTCCCTGACCCCTACTAATTGCTCTATAAATACAGAGGCCCAGTCGACAAGCTAGCATTACAAATCCCACAGAGGGGGATCATAGCTTTAACTGCTGAGAAGAAATGTCGGCAGATCTGCCAATTTTATGCTACCCAAAACCAGCTGACAGGCTAATTAACTGTGTGGAGATTAGGAAACAGAGAGGAAAAAAAATAAGCACTTTGGCAGGCAATGGATGTCTTTATAAGAAAAAGAACAAGTTACACTGATATGAAGAATACATCTAATCCTAAAGACAGGACAAACCTTCTCCATACAAAAAAAACCCAACAAAAACTCTGCCAGTATGCAAATGACAAAACTGTAGAATAAGTATAAAGAATTATCTATCTATATAGGAAGTTCACAAGTAACTCAACAGCCTAATGCTAAAAATGTGAATTTATATCATGTAACAAAATATTTATTTTTCAAAATAATCCCTTCTATTGTCAATGTAATTAATCCAACACTTCTAAATTGATCAGAGCTCAAACATTAGACCCCTTATATCAACACTTCTAAATTGATCAGAGCTCAAATATTAGACCCCTTATACCAACACTTCTAAATTGATCAGAGCTCAAATATTAGACCGCTTATACCAACACTTCTAAATTGATCAGAGCTCAAATATTAGACCGCTTATACCAACACTTCTAAATTGATCAGAGCTCAAATATTAGACCGCTTATACCAACACTTCTAAATTGATCAGAGCTCAAATATTATACAGTTTAAGATGAAAATTCTGCAAACAGCATCAGGTTACTGACCACTTGATCCAATTTTCAAAATAGATGAATTATAATGTGACATCTGAATTCATGATAATAACAGCAAAGATGGAGAGATTAGACCAAATTTAAATACTGTATATAATAAATCCTTATCCCAGAAAATTAAGACAGACAGTGATCAGGTGATAATAACAACAAAGATAAGGATATTAGTCAAAATGTTAAAACTGTAAATAATGATAACTCTTCACCCCAGAAATTCAGACAGAAGGCAAAATAGGAAAATAGCTTAATGGATTACAGTGTTGTTCATGAATTTGGTAGTGTAATAATTTTGAGTGCCATCCCTGGGCTGTGTAGTGCAGATTTATAGTCAGTGGACACAGGGCAAACAAAGACTGAGCATTACTAAAAAAAAAAGATGATATATCCCTAGACATGGATTGTCAAGTGAGAAGATAACCCTGTAGATTAAATAAAGAGTACAATTTTAAAATTCCCTGAAGGCTATGTGGATCAAAAAATGCTTGAAGAAGACTGGAGTGAAGAATGGCAGTGACACTGTGATGATAGAAACAGAGAAGATCATTAGTCCAGACATAAATAATAACACCTAATCTCAGAAATTCAAACAGAAATTAAAAGTTATTTTGTTTGTTTTTTTAACAATGATAACAGAAACAGGAAGACATAAATGAAGTACAGGCATCCGCAAAAGACAGAAAATGAGCTTCATTGTATTTGTGTTTCCTGAAGGGAGACAACTGTCTCCGGTATTATCTCTATGCAGTATTATGTCAGGCTATATTTGGTACTCAATTTCACACCAAATCCTCAACAGAAACCAGGTGCAGAATTGACCTGAGACAAGGCCAGAAATCTATGATTTACCCATAGTCACTGGTGACCACAGAGGGGAACGCCTGAGGGCTTGACTGCGCACAATATATGCGTACATGAGAAAAAAATGTTGGAAAGCTGGCTATATGAACAACTGTACCCGAGAGGACTTGAGCAGTCTCTCAGACACTGACAAGAATGTAAAGACCATGTTTTGGATGAGGGCTCTGGTGGTCCACACTCCACACATTGGCTAAGGTTAACTGATGAGTGAAATAAAATATAATGTTATATATAAAAGATTAAAGACTTGTGTTATCATTGGTCCACATTCGCACATTATATAATTAACTGGCACAATTACAACATCACATCTATTATTATTACTGCTACTGCTCATGATGATTGTGCCAGAGTTTCACTGCCATATTGGGTTTAAATTCTTTACAAAAAAATGTCCATGAAACCTGATGCCTTTTGTGCACAATGAATGACAAATCAAGAATCTGAGGTAAGTGTTTTTGTATTATTTACATTTCTTTTTTCATTTCTTTCCTTCCAGGCCACTCTACCCCCACACCCTCACACTACCTCCCATCTCTATCCCCTTAAATATCTCTATTAGAACATATATCTAACTAATTCTGTTTATACACCGAGTGCCAAATTATTAGCGAGATAACTTTTTTTCTAATATTTCAAAAATCCTCCAATCAATTCACACAAAATTTTCACACAATGTTGGCAACACAGACCTGTGTAATCACTGAAATTTTCATACTGATCTGCGCAATGTAAACAAACTGGCGCCGTATTTGTTATCAGCATGGTGATTTGAGAGTGCCAAATTATTAGAAAAGTGTAAGAATTTAGTGAAAAGATGGGTCGTAAAAGCAGTTTAAGTGATGTTGAAAAGAAAACTATCACCTCAGAACTCTCAAAAGGTAAATCTACCCTAGACATTCCTAAAATGATAGGGAGGTGTCATCAAAAAAAAGTTCATCGCCGACCATACACAAGTATGCAAAAGGGCAGATAAAGGCAAGCTGAAGGTTATTTCACGTCGTCTCATGTCACGACTTAAACGAGAGGCCACGAAGGATCCTGGACTTACCAGTCAAGAGCTTTTCAGTAGCACTGGGGATCCTACTGTGTGTAAAAGTACTTGGTGTTGGTATCTGAGGGAAAAAGCAACAACAGTCAAACCTATATCGAAGCCTCCATTGACGAGAAATCACATTCAAAATCAATTGAAATGGGCCGAGGACAATATGACGATTGACTTCTCTAAAGTTTTGTCCACAGACGAAATTCGAGCAACACTTGATGGGCCAGATAGATGGTGCAAAGGCTGGGTAATGAACGGACAGAATCACCATCAGTGTTTGAGACGCCAAAAAGGTGGTGGAGGCATAATGATCTGGGGTGGTATTATTGGAAAGACATTAGTGGGCCCATGGAGAGTACCAGATGGCGTCAAAATGACTGCTGATGCATACATAGTGTTTATGAAGGAGCATCTTGAACCGTGGATGAAAAGGCAAAGACTTGCCTTCAGAAGGGCAATTGTTTTTATGCAAGATAATGCTCCCTCACATGCTGCTCACAAGACTACTGAATATTTGAAACAGTTAGGCTTCGATGGACCTCGAAAAATGAAGTGGCCAGCAAATTCTCTGGATTTGAAACCAGTCGAAAACCTTTGGAGTATCATGAAGCAAAGACTGTACGCCAACAGACGACAATTCAGGAGGAACACTGAGTTGTGGGAAGCAATTCTTGACATATCTCGCAGCATTACAGCAGATGACATCCTACAATTAACAAATTCTATGGATTGTAGACTTCTTCAAGTAATTTCAAAACTGGGAAAGCACATTCCCTATTAATTTGTTTAAAACTGTGCCTTTGTATCTGTTATTATTTGTTTGATTATCTTATTTATTAGGTTCTTTTGATCAAACATTCATGTGCAACATTAATAAACATTTTGTTTGCTCAATTCTGGGAATTTTACTAAACCTTTCTAATAACTTGGCACTCTCAAATTACCGTGCTTATAACAAATATGGCACCAGTTTGTTTACATTGCGCAGATCAGTATGAAAAATTCAGTGATTGTGCAGGTCAGTATTGCCAACGTTGTGTGAAAAATTTGTGTGAATTGATTGGATGGTTTTTGAAATATTAAAAAAAAAGTTATCTCGATAATAATTTGTACGCAGTGTCTGTATATAAAAAGACTGTATGTAAGAACAATTTTACATATATATATATATATATATATATATATATATATATATATATATATATATATATATATATATATGTATTTATATGTAATGAGGAGGAAGAACATATATCAAACAAATTTATTTTTCTAACAATTTTCTACAATTTTTCATCTTTTCTGTTGGAACACTGAAATTTTAAATTTTGAAATTAGATAGATTAACCAATACTAAAATTAAAAGCCTATGTAAAAACAATTATATATATATATATATGTGTGTGTGTGTGTGTGTGTGTGTATATATATATATATAATGAGAAGGAGGGAGAGCTTACTAGCTAGTTCATAGATCTGAGCAATCAGAGATAGATAAATAGATAGAGGCAGGTTGATGTAGCTTGATTGGTAAAAATGGTTTTATCATATATACAGGGTGCAGCAAAAGTAACACCCCTTTTTTACTTATTAATTTTTTTTCCACAGTAGTTTCATCTGGATGACAGATTGCTTTTTCCCAGAGAAGATTTTGAAGAAACTGATCTTATCTGTATTTAACCTATAGATTTCCATTGGTGTCCCATCTGGATGACAGATTGCCCAGAGAAGATTTTGAAGAAACTGATCTTGTCCCATTGGTGTCCCATCTGGATGACAGATTGCTTTTTCCCAGAGAAGATTTTGAAGAAACTGGATCTTTGTTTACCTTTTAACCTAAAGATTTCATTGGTATCCCATCTGGATGACAGATTGCTTTTTCCAGAGAAGATTTTGAAGAAACTGATCTTGTCTGTACTTTTACCTTTAACCTAAAGATTTCCATTGGTGTCCCATCTGGATGATGATTGCTTTTTCCCAGAGAAGATTTTGAAGAAACTTTTGTCTGTACTTACCTTTAACCTAAAGATTTCCATTGGTGTCCCATCTGATGACAGATTGCTTTTCCCAGAGAAGATTTTTTGAGAAACTGATCTTGTCTGTACTTACCTTTAACCTAAAGATTTCCATTGGTGTCCCATCTGGATGACAGATTGCTTTTTCCCAGAGAAGATTTTTGAAGAAACTGATCTTGTCTGTACTTACCTTTAACCTAAAGATTTCCATTGGTGTCCCATCTGGATGACAGATTGCTTTTTCCCAGAGAAGATTTTGAAGAAACTGATCTTGTCTGTACTTACCTTTAACCTAAAGATTTCCATTGGTGTCCCATCTGGATGACAGATTGGAGAAGATTTTTGAAGAAACTGATCTTGTCTGTATTTAACCTAAAGATTTCCATTGGTGTCCCATCTGGATGACAGATTGCTTTTTCCCAGAGAAGATTTTGAAGAAACTGATCTTGTCTGTACTTACCTTTAACCTAAAGATTTCCATTGGTATCCCATCTGGATGACAGATTGCTTTTTCCCAGAGAAGATTTTGAAGAAACTGATCTTGTCTGTACTTGAAAGATTTCATTGGTGTCCCATCTGGATGACAGATTGCTTTTTCCCAGAGAAGATTTTGAAGAAACTGATCTTGTCTGTACTTGTTTCCATTGGTGTCCCATCTGGATGACAGATTGCTTTTTTCCAGAGAAGATTTTGAAGAAACTGATCTTGTCTGTATTTTAACCTAAAGATTTCCATTGGTATCCCATCTGGGATGACAGATTGCTTTTTCCCAGAGAAGATTTTGAAGAAACTGATCTTGTCTGCAGATTTCCATTGGTGTCCCATCTGGATGACAGATTGCTTTTTCCCAGAGAAGATTTTGAAGAAACTGATCTTGTCTGTACTGAATTGATGACAGATTGCTTTTTCCAGAGAAGATTTTGAAGAAACTGATCTTGTCTGTACTTACCTTTTAACCTAAAGATTTCCATTGGTGTCCCATCTGGATGACAGATTGCTTTTTCCCAGAGAAGATTTTGAAGAAACTGATCTTGTCTGTACTTACCTTTAACCTAAAGATTTCCATTGGTGTCCCATCTGGATGACAGATTGCTTTTTCCCAGAGAAGATTTTGAAGAAACTGATCTTGTCTGTACTTACCTTTAACCTAAAGATTTCCATTGGTGTCCCATCTGGATGACAGATTGCTTTTTCCCAGAGAAGATTTTGAAGAAACTGATCTTGTCTGTACTTACCTTTAACCTAAAGATTTCCATTGGTGTCCCATCTGGATGACAGATTGCTTTTTCCCAGAGAAGATTTTTAAGAAACTGATCTTGTCTGTACTTACCTTTTAACCTAAAGATTTCCATTGGTATCCCATCTGATGACAGATTGCTTTTCCCATTTTTTGAAGAAACTGATCTTGTCTGTACCTTTAAACTTTTTTAACCTAAAGATTTCCATTGGTGTCCCATCTGGATGACAGATTGCCCAGAGAAGATTTTTGAAGAAACTGATCTTGTCTGTCTTACCTTTAACCTAAAGATTTCCATTGGTGTCCCATCTGGATGACAGATTGCTTTTTCCCCAGAGAAGATTTTTGAAGAAACTGATCTTGTCTGTACTTACCTTTAACCTAAAGATTTCCATTGGTGTCCCATCTGGATGACAGATTGTTTTTCCCAGAGAAGATTTTGAAGAAACATCTTGTCTTTCTGTACCTTTAACCTAAAGATTTCCATTGGTGTCCCATCTGGATGACAGATTGCTTTTTCCCAGAGAAGATTTTGAAGAAACTGATCTTGTCTGTACTACCTTTTAACCTAAAAGATTTCCATTGGTGTCCCATCTGGATGACAGATTGCTTTTCCCAGAGAAGATTTTGAAGAAACTGATCTTGTCTGTACTTACCTTTTAACCTAAAGATTTTCATTGGTATCCCATCATGACAGATTGCTTTTTCCCAGAGAAGATTTTGAAGAAACTGATCTTGTCTGTACTACCTTTAACCTAAAGATTTATTGGTCCCATCTGGATGACAGATTGCTTTTTTCCCCAGAGAAGATTTTGAAGAAACTGATCTTGTCTGTATCCTTCCTTTAACCTAAAGATTTCCATTGGTGTCCCATCTGATGACTTGCTTTTTCCCAGAGAAGATTTTTTCTTTACCTTTAACCTAAAGATTTCCATTGGTGTCCCATCTGGATGACAGATTGCTTTTTCCCAGAGAAGATTTTAAGAAACTGATCTTCTGTCTGTAAAAAGATTTCCATTGGTGTCCCATCTGGATGACAGATTGCTTTTTCCCCAGAAAGATTTTGAAGAAACTTTTATTTTTGTTTTTCATTGGTATCCCATCTGGATGAATTTGCTTTTTCCCAGAGAAGATTTTGAAGAAACTGATCTTGTCTGTTCCGGTTTTACTTTAACCTAAAGATTTCCATTGGTGTCCCATCTGGATGACAGATTGCTTTTTCCCAGAGAAGATTTTGAAGAAACTGATCAATTGACATTTTTTTCACACAACCAGGGAGATCAAATGTTACTGTCCTAATTGTCTGTAATTAAAAGAAAAAACATAATTAAAAAGAAAATGTAATTTCCTCTGCAATAATTACATTTCATTAAATATACACTCACAGGCGCCATGTGTGTGCAGTGCTCTGGTGAATTGAAAGACACTTGCAACCCCACCTACCCACTGTTCATCTTGAGGTCCTAGACAAAATCCAGAGATGGATATGCAATGTGATAGGTCCTGATCTGGCATTTCGTCTAGAGTGACTTTCTCACAGACTTGATGTGGCTTCCCTCCATCTTTCCTACAAATATTTCCATGGCAACTGCTCTGATGATCTATTTTCACTGGTACCTCAACTGCACAAATTTAAGCATGCTACTAGGTTGGCATCTCAGTCCCGCCCTTTCAAAACAGTTAAATGTAACCACCTCTTCTACTCCAACAGCTTCTTTCTTGCACTTCCTGCCAGTGGGACTCCTTTCCTCCTACTTGCTTCCCTCATTGCTATATTATTCAAATGTAATGTCAATTGACATCTTCTGATATCTTGATCCTGATCTCCATCCTTCTCTATATCGACTAGTTCTCACTCTCTGTAACCCTATAGTTTTGGGTTTGAAACCACAAATTTTATTTTTTTGTTTTATAATTTCAGAATGTCTCCAAAACTTTTGCTTAGCACTCATGTCTAATTTGCATATAAATTTTATGCGTAGACAAAAAATTCCTTATTTCTACTTAGATATAAAATACACTTTGTATTTACTATGTTCAACACTTTTATATATGATTGTATATACTTTTTCTAAAGCATTTTTTTCTTGCGAAAGGTTGAATCCATCTTTTCTTCTGCCCAGGTATGGGTGAATAGCAAGACAGACTAGGAACTATAGTTTTGGGTGACAACCAATCTAGGAAAAGGACAACTGCGAATTTTAAAAAAAATGAGTTGTCAGCAACTAAACCAGATCCCCCAGAAGACCCTAGTCTGGTGAAGAGGTTGTGGAACCCCAGAAGCACAAAGAACAGGAGCTGTTAAAAGGCAGATGAACTCCTCAAGGTCATTGATCATCCATCCCAGCTATAGGTTATTTAATCCATAGGTGGGGTGGATGGCCGTTGAGTCACCTCACCAGCCCACAATTGGCCAAGCATGGTGAGTATGGTTAAAAACTTTGAAGACATGGTCAATAAGGACATGGTTCCTCCAACACAAGTGCAAAGGTCATGAATTTTAATTTGGACCCACACCAAAGAATTTCTTAGTTCCTTTCTTTTATTGTTCTCTCTCAATAATATTTTCTTTTTCTTATATTCTCTCACATTCAGTAACACCTTGCATCTTAGAGACTTTCTTGCCTTTCTTTGGGTAAAATAATTAAAAATAACAAGAAAAAAGAAATCTTGTACATTATATTCTTGAAATAATCAAAGGTAAAAACAACACTAAATATTTCATACACCTGAGGAAGACCAATGCATCTTCTCTTCCACTTTCCATCTGTCGAACTCTCTTCCTGTTTCTTGTCAACTATGACCTTCAAAAGTTTAAATGCAAGGTCAGTTATCATCATCTGTCTTTTTGAATCAAGTTCATTTATTGTCCTTTCTAATCAATAAAGTTTTCTGTTTCTTTCACACTCAGTAACCCCCTTGCATCTTGGTGGCTTTATCACCTTGATTAGAGTGAAATAAAAAAAAATGCAGTGACAGAAACAGAAAACCTGAGAAAACTACATTGAACAATTCATGCAATTATGATCATACATATTCTAATATATAAAGCTGAAAGTTTAATTGTCTGTCAGAGCCAGTTAGATTACACTTCTTTTGTCAAGAATCTCAAAATATATGTAATGAGTTGGTCGGTCAACTTGACACCCCCAAAGCGAGTGGAGGTGGGCAGGCGCGGGAACTGTGATTGGTAGATGGCTTGTTGGTGTTTTGCATAGGTGAGTTACCAAGCTCTATGTGAAAGGCTGGAATGAGAGGGAGGGCAGTTTTTTTCAGTCTCAGAAGTGGAGACTGTGTCCGTCGCTACGACAGCAGGAGAGAAAGAGACAAAATCATTTTTTTTTCGTGACACATTTCAACACAGTATATAGCCAGATATGCCAGCAATATCCAGTGCGCAAATGAATGATAGACTTCAGTCACTTTCCTACAGCTGCGACATGGCTTTCCTCTGTCTTTTCTTTAAATATTGTCATAGCAATTGTTCTGATGAGTTTTCCTCGTTGACTGCATGGATTTAAGTGGATTGGAAACTCAGTCTCACCATTTTACAGTTGAACAAGCTAGATGTAACTGCAAGTTCTATTGTAATAGCTTCTTTTCTCATACTTCTTGCCTGTGGAACACTTTTTGGTTTCTTGCTTCCCTGCCAAATACAATCTTCAAAAATTTAAATGCAACATCAAACACGAAATCACCATCTTCTGTCTACCTGAATCCTGTTCTTTTATTGCCCTTTCTTCTCAGTAACCCCTCAAATCTTAGTGGCATTATTATCTTTCTTGGGGGTGAAATGATTAATATATATATATATTTGAGAGATGGGTGAATTCTATAAACAGCAGCTGTCATTGCTAACCCTCCACTCTTATTAATGAATAGAGCACTGGCTGTCGATGTTTGCTTACATTTGTAAAAACAATACACTTGAATTCGTCTTTCTCTCTGCTGAAGAGTTGATGGCTTGGGGGTAGAAACTCCGACTGATACCAAATCAGTCAGGTTTCGATCCTGGCTTGAAGCCTTTGGATGTCTAGTCGCACTGATGAGTTGTGATACAGCAAAACAGGTCTGTATGTGAATGACATATATATATATATATATATATATATATATATATATATATATATATATATATAATAAGTTGAAAGTTTGCATGTTCACTTGATGATAGCCTCAAAATTACTTGAAACCGTGATATCAAATAAATAAGTAGTGCAGGTGAGGAAATGGCCAGTACAACACTGGGAATCATTTAAAGAAAATTGATTTTAGAGGCAAATTTCTTTTTTACTTAATAAAAAAAACAATCTTACCTTATCTATTGAATGTTTTGATATATTAAAAAGTTCTTGTTTTTCCAGAGAATGCTTAGAACTGAAAAATAAAAATAAATATTGTGATATAAAGAGCAAAGCAATAACTTGCTAAGATTTAAGAGTTTTCAAGATAATTCTTATGTATGTTGCATCTCACAGATGAAGAAGAGACTTGAAGCAACAAAAATATGGTTCTGCTGAAGGATGCTAAGAATACTATAGACCGAACATGTGAGCAACAAAAAAGTTCTAGAGAAAATGGAAACAAAAAGGACACTTATACTTAATATAAGGAAGGGAGTGTTGAAATTTCTGGGTTATATAATGAGGAAAGAGGGCTTGGAAAATTTGATACTCACAGGACAGATTGAAGGGATAGAGGAAAACAATGCATAACCTACCTAGCAAGTTTTAGAGAAAATGTTGACAAAAAGGACACTTATACTTAACATCAGGAAGAGACAGTTAAAATTTCTATGGTACATAATGAGGAAAGAGAGCATGGAAAATTTGATACTCACAGGACAGGTTGAAGGCAAAGATGGATAGAGGAAAACAACGCATAACCTACCTAGCAAGTTTTAGAGAAAATGGAGACAAAAAGGACACTTACATTTAAAATCAGGAAGAGAGAGTTGAAATTTTTAGGGCACATAAGGAGGAAAGAGGGCTTGGCAAATTTGATACACATAGGACAAATTGAAAGCAAGAGAGACAGAGGAAAACAATGCCTAATATACTTAGCAAACTTGAACAAATGGAT